TTAACGCCAAGTATCTTAAGACACAGAAGACATTGAATGCTGTTTACCTAGAAACAGTCAGCCCTTATCACAAAGCTTCTCTATGCCCCTCACTTGTTAATGTTTAATTCTACCAGATCTTGTTGGAGGAAAGTAAAAGTCCAGATAAATCCAACAAAAGCACCACTATGAATAGTTTGCATCAAGTACACCTCACAAGCAAATTTATCTCTACCCTGGCATCAGCTGGCAATGCATATCTACCTGATTCATTTAAATAATCCTTAACCAACTGTTTCTTCAAAAACAAATTAACAAACAGAAAAGCTTCATATATCCTATAAAGCAGTATTTCCCAATCTGGGTGTCACAAACCCCAAGGGGGGTGTCACAATTTCGGGGGGGGGGGTTGTCAAGAGTCACCTTATATGTATTGTAGCTCTTGTTAGTTTCTTCTTCAACCTTCCAGAACCAAATATTCAAGTTAGTGTGTATATGTATGCATCAGAAAGAAGACTCTTACTTTCTGAGAAGGGATAACTTTACCCCATTAAAATGCCATTTTATGCAACATGTGTCACATATTGCTATTATAAAGGGGGGTCATGAATCAAAAAAGGTTTGGAAACACTGCTATAAAGACTACTAAAAATATTTTTAGCTCAAGCTGAATCATGAAAGATGTAGACTACGTCAAGGCCGAGTGGTAGAAAAGCCCCGTCTGGGGATTCAGCGGGTCCATTTCTTCCACTTCCCCCTCTTTGGTGCCGAGCTGCTCGCTGTGCTTGGTGAAGGCCGTGTGGCTGCTCAGAGCCTGCTGCATGATGTGGGTGATGGCCCCCGTGGAAAAGGCGGGGGACTATGCTTGGACCAGGAAAACTAACAAAGTCTTATCAGATCTTCAACTATACTAATTGGACAACCTACAAATGGGATCCTCTTTCAAGGTGCCCCTGGAAGATGCAGCATCAAGAAAATTGGTCTTCACACCCAATAGGAAAGTCAGACTTGGCACTGAACAATAGGATCCAGATTCATGCTACTAGAAGCCTAGGAAGCACGACAGTCAATGCCATTTACATCTACATCACATTAAGTTCCAGCTTATGTGAGTCACGGTTTGCAGAATCACTTGCAAATTGTCCTGAAGACAACCAATTAAATCAGAGTTGTTTCACCCATTTCCTTGATTCTGGGTTCAGGAATATGACAGGCTAGACTTCATAAGCAAACTTTAAAAACAGAGCTTCTAATTATGTTTTTTCAGGAGGCTAAAAAGCACAGGCTGCTTGCAGTGACAGGGACAGACACAATAGGCAAAATACTGTTGGCACAGTTCTACCAGTATAAACTGGATTGAGGTGCCAGAAGTAACTAATTTAAATTAATTTAAAGCTTCCTTTCCCCTCTGCACACATACACACATTTGTGCTTCCAAGGCTTGTTTATAGCAAGTTAAATGATCACAGGACTGAGGGGAAAATCTTTTTTGCTTCCTCATCTTGTAGAGAAGGCAACTATTTAAAAAAAAGTGAACAAGAGTGGAGTAGAACTACAGGCAATGGGAACTAAAGAGAACATCTCAGTTCTTTCATAGTTTTGTTACCAGTTCAGGGCCTTGTGAAGCACAGCAAAGATTGGCAGCTAGGATACAAGTTTTATATGGGGTTGGTAGGAGCAACAAAAGCAAGAACTCTTTGAAGGGCACTGACTGAAGCAGAGTTGAAAGTGCCAATGAAGTCCATTTGGGCCAACTTACTTTTAAAGTCTAACGCTGGGATAATTTAAAGGAATTTTATTTCTAATGCCCCAAACTGATTTATATGGTACAAAGCTACACAACAGGATTTTACCCTATGAATCAGAATTCTATACATTACAGCCAGGCTACATGCCTTGTGTTAAAATCAATTAAACAAACCACACCCACTTGCTAATCCTTGCAAGCTCTCCCAGATGCTGTTTGATCAATAGTTACATCCGGATTCTGGAGCAATTCCCAGCTCCCCCTTCCTATGCCTACATCTCTGATCCTCTAGCATTGCAGTAACATCATCAATATGGCTCTTCCCTCAATTAAATCCTTTTCTCAATAAAGACTTTGGATCAAATTCTGGCTTTTGTGCCAGAATGGAGTAATGTGTGCCTTTAGCAGGACCTAACCATTCATGTATTTTTTTCCCCTTTCCTTTTGACAACTGCACACAGGATCTCAAGATGCTTTAATAATTAAGATACAAGTGGTCACATTCTTCTTTCACAAAGAAAAGCAGTAAAGCCATGTGTCAACGGTAGCACTTCAGACTATTATTTAAAGAAAATTCCTATACACAGAAAAAAATATGTCATGACAAAGGTTCTAATATATCTGCATCTAATGTACAGCAAATTATTTTCATGGAAGGCTATCCCATCACTCAATCCCCAACCTATAGGTGTGCAGTCCAGACACAGGTTTGCTACCTCACCAGCTGACTGTACTGACTAGAATGAGGCGGATACGTCCACCTAGTGGCACTGAGGATGAGGTTGTATTATCACAGTTACAAAATTAATGCAAACACGGGTTGTCTCTTTAGCTCCAGGGACACATCTTGTTGGCACTTTACAACTGGCTGCACACATTATAAATACTTTTCTTTGCTTAGGTTTTTGTTTTTTCTCCATAAGATGCAAGGACTGCAGTAGAGGCATGAGGTCAGTGTATGTTAGCAAATCAACTGTCTTCTCCCAGGGATGGCAAGTGTTGCACTGGGTTTGTGGGTATGGCATTGAGTGGGCAGGGGTTGTACATTGGGTGGGCAAGAGGTAGGAAGCAAGGCAAATGGCAACACCACCACAAGGACATTTTTTTGTTTGCTTTACCAAAGTACCACACTGTTACTGTGCTATGCTATTTCAGAAGTGCACTTCTGATTGAGCGAGCAGGTGTCTGAATATTAAGAGGTTACTCAGGTTATGATTATTTGTCAAGGGACAGAAGGAAGTCTAATTCCACCCAATAAGTCAAACAGAAATCATGCAAGCATTCATGTTAAACAACCTTCTGACTTATTCATGTTAAGCTCTTTACAGAATCAATTAGGAGAGTTTTAAAAGCTTTTTTCTGTACCACAGGAAAAAAAATCCTTCACTTTAACAGCTAGCATTATTAAATAGTTTGTGGTATTCTTTGCATTTAAATTATACCTCTATGTTTCTGGATGTGGTGTCAAAAAGCTTTTTCATTCAATGCCCCCAACTTCAACAATTCTTTGATTTTCAACAAGAGTTCATATATGAAATCGACTGAGCAAAGTGTAGCTATGCATTAAAAAAATCTTGTGATGTTATAGAGATGGGGTGAGAAATAATTTTATTCTCATATTTAAGTCAATCAAATCTCCCACATAGAATTTTTGTGAACTACATCTCCTCAGGCACTTGGAAGTACAAAGAGATCATTTTTTTAAAAAAAAGCACTGCAAAATTGCAGCGGAAACAAAACACACACACAAACACGTACAGTATTCCTGTTTTGAATCTGGAGGGAGGAAAAGGACAACCGAATCAAGGGAAGTGAAAAGCAAACAGTGAGCACATGGCATTTCAGAGAAGGTCAGAGACACATGATCACCCATGTACACCTCAAATTGTCAGCCTTCCACCTCTCCTCCGTCCCATTTCTGAAGAAAAATATTGTACACATAGACCCTGTCTTCCTCTCTCCCAGAAATAAAGATTTTTTTAACTAAAACTAAGGCTGCAGCCCTGAACATGATTCCAAAGAAGAAAATCCCATTTTGCCCAGTGGGATTTACTTCTGAGTAAGTGCATCTGGGGCTGCATCATAAGGAAGCAATCATTTCTGCATTTACTAGAGATTAAGTCCCACTGATCCCAGTGGAGTTTACATCTGAGTAAGCACACTCAGGATCAGGCTGCACTAAGAACCAAGCTTAGGGGGAGTAGGTTTGAAGCACTAAGCTTCAGTCAGCAGCACTTAGCTTGCAGTACTATACACTTATCTGGAACTAAATCCGAATAAATTCAAGGGAAACCTCTTTCTGCATTGCCATACACAGCTTGGTTCTGTTAAACATTAACTCTTGTGCAGGAACACACAAGAAGGCAGCGTGTTCTGTCGTCCTACATTCGGATCACCACATCCATTTCTGTGCGACATTCCCGCCCCCTCCCAAATTTAAAAAAAAAAGGTTTTCGGAAAAAAAGAAAAGAAAAGAAAGGAAAGCCAGAATGAATGCATTGCCATCCTGCATTAAATTCCGCGGAGAATGAACCAGCTGAACGACCACAACCACGAAGAACCTCGCAGAGATCAGGCAGGGGACGACTTACAGGAATCGCAAGAAAGAAAGAAAGAAAAAAAGAGGAGGGGAAGGAGAGTCACAAGCAAGAAAATTTGACCACCACCCCCCCCGCTCTGCACAGGCTGTTGTGTAACCATTTCAGAAGCACCGAGGCAAGAGAGGCAGGTAGGAAAGCTAAAGGCGCCAATCGGGAACCCCGGCGCTTTTTGAAGCCAGCCGGCAAGTCAGCCCGGGGCAGCCACGCTTCCTCTCTCTTAACTCATCCCCAGGCGGGCAACAACGGGGGCGGGGTGTGTGTGTGTGTGTGTGTGTGTGTGTGTGTGTGCCAAAAGCGGGAAACACGGCGCCAGTTTTTCACAAAAGCGACCATTCCCGGCCAGGTAGCCTCCGCTTCCCCCTCTTCGCGCCCGAAAACGCCGCTTCCAAAGGCCGAAGAAGTTTTGCACTTCTGCCTCCCTCCCGCCGCAGGTTCCTCCACAACTTGCTTGCCCCCGCAGCTTCTTTTTTGACAGCCCGGGCTCTGCTCCGCGTCCGCAGGCTTCCTTCCCGACAGAGCCTCCCGCCGCCGGTGCCCAGGCAAAGTGCTCCGGGACAACTGCCCCCCCTTCCCTTCCCTTCCCCACCCGAATCCTTCAGGAAACGCCCACCAGAGCTCAACCTCTCCCTCTCCTCGCCCCCACCCGCCCCCCGCCCTCCAGAAGCAGCGCTCACCATGAGGGCAAGCAGCAGAGGCAGCAGCAGCAGCATTCTCCCTCCTCCACAGCACCGGGTCCGTCCAGCCCTGTGCCCAGCCATCCGCTCGCTCTCTCGCCCGCCTGCCTACTTGCTGGCGCTGGAAGAAGAACAAGCCGCTCCTGCTCGTGCCGCTGCCACGTCTGGCTAAGCATGCGCAATCCATAAGGGGGAAGAGGGAAAAGAAGAAGAAGAAAAAAAAAAGCCCTGCCGAAGCGGAGTAGCCCAAGGTGAGGTGCACGCTGGGGGTTGTAGTTTCTCTGGCGCGGGCGGCTCGGTGGTGGTCGAACGAGGCGGAAGAAACAGGTGGCAAGACGAACACAGGGAACGCCTGCCTGCCCGCCCTTCCTGACAGGCATCGCTCTTTTGCAAGGGAAAGCTCGGGATGTGGGTGGGGGGAAGGACGCTCTGCAGGACAAATGCTGTCTCTGGCTCCAAGGAGGCATGAAAAGAGAAATTAAGCATCCCCCTCAGACCGTAGTCCGTTTTGACGAGAGCGGATGCCAGACCCGTTGCTGGGATAGGAGCAAATATCCCCAGCGGGACGCCGCTTAGCCATGGTTTGGTTCACTTTATTGAGCTAATTTTCTTTTTCATGTTCTGTAAAGGACAAGCACTGGACTGCTACTTGGTGGTGGTTTAACTTCGTCTATGATCCTTTATCTTGGTTTCTCACCTACTTTGGGGACTTGCTTTCTGGTTTTTCTTTTCAAAAAATATCCCCACAACAAGTTTGTTTGTGTTACAGACCTACATGTACTGACTTACCTACTTGCTTGACTAGCAGCCTATGCTTTCCAGATCCCCCATCAATGAAACACTCTACAGATTTGTTTTTAAAAATTCTCTTTTCAGGCACAAATTGTGCTTCTTGCCGATCCATCACCAGCTGTTCTACCCATTTTAGAGCCTCCTGAACAAACTGCCTCTCACTTACAGTACTCATTCAAAACACACACCCCACTGCTCCATTAAAACCAAAAAGGGCAAACCCCCATGTCTTAAAACAGCATCACAAAGTATTCTCGAAGGCTTTCACAGTGGGGATCAGATGGTTGTGGGTTTTTCAGGCTCTTTGGCCATGTTCTGAAGGTTATTCTTCCTGATGTTTCGCCACTCTCTGTGGCCGGCATCTTCAGAGGACTGGAGTAAGCCCTCTGTCCATGCTCTGTTGCTGTTTGTTGGATAGTTGAGTATTTATAGCTGTGGGAACAGCTTTTGTCCTTTTCAGGAGATAGGGTGATCAGCGCGTTTTTGTTGTGATAAGGGGGGAGAGATTATCTGTCACTGTGATTTATGGGTGTCGTTAGCTGGTCTTTTTTGTGCAATGATCCCTGGTCCTTGTGGCTGGGTAGAGTTTGTTGACCTTTTGCAGGCTGTATTATTCAGTAAGTATTGGAAGCCAGGCCTTGTTTAGTTTTAGGCCTTCTTTTTTGTTGAAGTTCTGTTGATGTTTATGGATTTCAATGGCTTCCCTATGCTGTGTAACATAATGATTGCTGATGTTGTCCAGTACATCAGTATTTTGAAATAGAATTTCATGTCCAGCTTGTTTTAGGGCATGTTCAGCTACAGCTGATTTTTCCATTTGTTTTAGTCTGCAGTGTCTGTCATGTTCTTTGATTCTGGTCATGTCAGGAAGAATAACTTTCAGAACACGGCCAAAGAGCCCAAAAACCCACAACAAGCATCACAAAGTCTTAAAACAACACCACAGACATCCCACTATCCCTATAGTACCTTAGTTTGTTTGTTTTTGGCAATTTTTAGTCAGCTTTCATAGATCGGTTTGCTCAGATACCAATAAAACCAAAGGCTGGAAGTAACTCATTAAATAATACTACCGTACTTACTTGTAGCTATTCACCTTTTCAAACAACAAAGGTATAACTAAATTATATAATGGTGGCAACATGATACAGATTACTTTATTCCTTTTGTATATGTCTAGATATGGAGCTATGCCTTCATTAAACAGCAGGGAGGAATATTAACCTGTGCCTTGCATTCTACTGTGAATGCTGAAGAGGTGGAATGGAGCTCATGGCATTCCAATGTCCCTCTCCTCCAAAAGTAATAGAAGCTAACTATTTTAGATACCAGTTCAAGAAACTTACAGTATTTTTAAATTGTAGCTAACAGACTATGAGAGCCTGGAATTATTTTTTTAAAGGTAACGGTCCAAGCTGTGCCTTGAACTGTCAAAAGGAGTTTAAGCAGCTGATTTATAGCGTGTCAGATACCAAACCATTTAGCAAAGTTCTGTCTATTCTGACTGAGGAAACTTTGAAGCATATTCTAATCTGGTTACTGGGGATTCTTTAACAACTAATGAGTGATATCACACCTGGAAATGAGCACTGTAGGATTGTATCTGCCCTCTTAATCATGTTACATCCCCTGGTTCATGAATCAAATAATGATTCACTCTTTAAAAACCATACAGTATGAGAATTTCTGGCTTGTATATACCGGTACTTAAGGTAGGGCACATCCACATTCTGGCAAAGTAGCTCACTATTTGGATCACTTTTGGTGCTGTTTTGGTTTACAGTGTCAACACATGTTTGGACTTAGAGCCATCCATCCCACCCTTTTTAGAACTGTCTCACTCCTTTCTGGCACAGCAGTAAGGCTAAAGGGTTTTTTTGTGTGTGTGTGTGTGGTATGTAGCACTGTGAATGTTTTGTCTACACCAAAATAGAGCTGTGGGCAGTGTTATCTGAGGTGACAACCCTGTGATATATTTGGTGGGCTTGTGCCATTGAAAGGGATAATGGAGACCCTCCCCCTCTAGCACTGTTCTAGATAAATGAGATACATTAGCAGTATAATGTATGCCATACCAAGTAGATGCATTGCTGTCTCACTATGTCACTTACTTTATTTAACTAAAAAAGACCCCACAAAAAACCCCACAAGGTCACCATGGCCAACTGACAGCCGTGGGAAGAGGGCAGAAATTGAGGTTAATTACTAAAAAAGGAGACAAATTGAGGTGATCCAAATACCTGTCTCCTACTCATGGGAGAAAAAAAATGTCAATCAGTATGAAGGGAAGGATTTCTCAATTGAGAAACAAAATAGATCAGACTGAAGATAAGAACCCTTTAAGCATAAACCAGACCACTCCAACTGCCATCTGGACATGCCCATAAACATTTGGATGGCTGCCCAGAATAATTTTTCTGGATTGAAAAAATGCATAGTGATATTTTCACATAATCAACACACAGCAGGGGTCTCTACAATTCAAAAACTAGAATCTTCTTGCTTAGTGTAGTAAATTGCCCTAGAGTTAGGCCCATTGAATCAGTGTGAATTTACTGGGTCAGCTCCCATGTTCCATTGATTCAAACGGGTCTATGCATAGCAGGAATAGGACCATTGAATCAATGTCAGGCTGGCCTCATCTTTGCTGTTCTTTCTGCAAGCAAGCAAAGATCTTTCTCTTCAGCAAGCTTTTCCTAAATGACTGAGCGTCCAGGACAGGTTATATAATGGGTGAATCAATGCTGGCCTCATCGTTGCTGTTCTTTCTGCAAGCAAACAAAGATCTTTCTCTTCAGCAAGCTTTTCCTAAATGACTGAGCGTCCAGGACAGGTTATATAATGGGATGGTTTGTATTTTGCTGTTTCTAAATCTGTTTTAGTAATGCTTTTGCCTGACATTTTAAATGTAATACTATTGTTTTTAAATATTTGAATAATATACAGTTTTTAGCTTTTAATATTGTGGTTTTAATTATGTAAGCTGCTTTGTATCCCTTTTAAGGTGAAAGATGGGTTAAAAATATTTTACATAAACTCTCTGGGGTGATTTACTACATTAAGCGACAGGTTTTTGGCCAATGTAGCTGTCTGAACATATCGAAGCAATAAAATGTTGAATTCTTGAGGGGGATAAAGTTCCGCCCTTATCCACCTTGTGGAATCCCATGGATATTTAGATCAGTGGTTCTTAAAGTTTTTGAAAGAAACGCCCCCTTGAGCCATTGAGGAAGTTATCATCGCCCCCTCCCCGCGGTGATATCTTTTTTATTTGTTTGTTTGTTTGTTTGTTTGTTTAAGACACTTAAATCCAATGACCCCTGAAAACAAAATTAAATTCCAAGAAAATGAAACGCCCCCCAAAAAGTAACATTTAATGATTTAGTTGCAAGTGAATTTTAAGACGCAAAAAGAAATATAAAAAGGGCATAAAAACAAATGCAGGAACTAAAAATTTCGAGACAAAAAGTCTGAAACTAAATTAAAATTGGAGGAAAATATATATTCATGCACACTGTAAAAAGGCTGCAGCCATCTTCACAGGTTTGGCTTGCTCCAGCGCCCCCCTACTGCCCCCCTTCTGCTCCAGTGCCCCCACGCCGCCCCTTTTCGTTCTATCGCCCCCCCTGAAAAATGAAATCGCCCCCTGGGGGGCATTATCGCCCACGTTAAGAACCACTGATTTAGATGAACAGTTTAAGATTTTTTTCGGCCCAAGAGCAGTCTGAGGAACTGAATCATATGATGATCCAGCTCACCAGTTTGCACCCACAGAGTCAACCAGAAACGTGGACATCTAAAGTACTTATAAAATACCATAGAGAAATATAGTAGAATATCTAAACTGTAGGAGACACAATTGCAGAAACCTCCAACACTTCAGCTTCCAACTCTTTAAGAAATATACTTTTCTTAACTGCAATGGAGCAAAATGCCACAGAGTGGAATACACTGAAGGCAGATTTCAATAAATCTGTAGTGCAGTCTGGTATGTGACTACTCAGAAGTAAGTCCCCTTGATCTCACTGGCGCTAACTATTAGGTAAAGAAGATATAAATGCAGCCTAAACCTCTCCTGAATAGTGTGGATATAATTTCTGTAAGAAAGTTGCTTTTGCTCACTATTTATAAGCACAGAGGCCAATGAGACATTTTAGCCATTGTCACATTTAATATGTGACCTGTGACTTGCTGTTTATGCATTTTTGTTGCTGATCCAACCCAAAATGCTTCAAAGAAAAATATATAACTTGCTAATTAAAATTAAGATCCTGGAAGTATGCAGAATATTTTGTTTAAATAATATTCATGCTTGGTGAGTCTCCAGGGGGACTGATTTCTACAGAAACTCAACAGTCATCAAGGATGTAATGGAGTATGACTAAGATGGCTGAGTCACCTGC